CTTAACCAGACACGGCTGTGGCTGGAGATACTGTACAATAAAATTTACATTTATATAGTATATTGTGCCTTTCACATCGGGAGGACATCTCAAAGTGCATCACAGTGCTGTATGCACATCCAAACTGGGATGGGAGAGAGGGGGGTGGAGGGGAAAGATGACATGGTCAAAGAGATACATTTTGAGACACGTTTTGAAAGAGGGAATGGAGGGAGCAAATTAGAGAGACTCTGGGATGGAGTTCCAGAGAACGGAGGCAGAATGGTGGAATAACTTCTTACCTTCACTTTGAGGGTTTCAACTGCAAATTATTGTGCATTTTGGGGGTATTTAGTCACATAAGAGAGTATATCTTATTTTCTCCTCTTGCTAATTTCTCCACACCATACATCTCCTTCAGTCAAGTAGCTTGTTGTCTGTTCCCAGCCCAACTCTTGGACAGTTATCAAAATGAAATAGCAGTTTAATAAAGACATTATTGGGGTAAAATTTCACATGAGTCTAGATTTACTCTATTAATGTAGCATTCCAGAGTGCACAGAAATTGGCAATTTCTTAAATTTAATTTAAAAACCTTAATTTTTAAGCTTTAAAGTTAAGGCTGAAATTCAATAATATGCCAAATCTTGGATACTTTACAATTACATAGAATTAGATAGAATATACTGCATTAAAACAGGCCATTTGGTCTAACTAGTCCATGCCAGTGCTTGTACTCCACACAAGTCTGCATCCTAATTGCCTCTCCCTAGTCCAGTCCCATATACATTTATTCCCCTCTCTTTTGTGTATTCAATGAGTCCCTCTATGGTGTCATTACATTCAGGCTTGACTACACTAACTCCCTGCTCATCAGACTTCCCAATTCTTACCTCCACAAACTGCAGATTATTCAGAACTCTGCAGCTCGTGTTCTCTCTCACACTAAGCTTTGTGAGCCGATCACCCCCATCCTCGCCCAGCTTCACAAGCTACCCATCCCTCAGAGGATTGAGTTCAAGATCGTTGTCCTCATCTTTAAAGTCTTACTCCTCCCTACCTCTGCAATCTATTAAAACTTTACCTACCTGTCCACTTTGTCTGCTGTGCGGGCAGTGACCTGCTTCACGTCCCCCACTCTGCCTGCTCCACTATCGGCGGTTGGGCATTCAGCCTTTCTGCCCCCACCTCTCTGAAACTCTATCCCAGAGCCCCTCCCTGCACCTTCTCCCTTGCTTCCTTCAAGGCCCATCTCAAGATTTTCCTTTTTGACCGTGCCTTCGGTCATCTTCCCTCCTCCGTCCCCCTTGCCCTCAACCCCTACCTGATCCAAACCTGCAACTTGAGTGCAAATTCCTCATTGTCCAGCATCTTGGGATGTCCTCCCCAAGTGAAAGGTGCTATGTAAATGCAATTTGTTGTTGTTGTTGACTTTCCTCTTAAACATGCTATCTGCTTCAGCCACTTTCATTCTCATGTAAGTTCCACATTCTCACCAACCTAAGTGTAAAGAAACTCATCCTAAATTCTCTTTTAGATCTGCTAATGTCCTTCTTATTTTTATGCCCTTTATGCTATGGATTCAGCATTAAGGTGAATCAGCCAATTTTAGTCTACCTTATTGATCCATAGAAATTTACAGCACAGAATGAGTCCATTCAGTCCACTGAGTCTTCACCAGCTCTCAGAACAAGCTGTTCTTTCCATCCCTGCCCTATTCCCACACCCCTTCAAGCTTCTAACATTCATATATCTGTCTACTTCCTTCTTGAAACCCACAATGGACTGTGCCTCTGCCACTTTACTTGGAGAGCATTTCACATCGCAACAACTCTGCAGTACTCCAGTTGCGGTCTAACCAATGAGTTGGAGTCCCGTAGCTCAGTGGTTAGGGCATTCACCTCGCAAACGAGAGACCTGGGTTCGATTCCCAGCAGAGCGAAACCTTGGACAAGTTTCCTTACTCCACACGCCTGATAATAATCCTTCAAGAAAAAAAACAATAATAAATTGGTCACTCCAATCCACGACTGTTTATGGGACACTGCTGTGCGCAATTGGCTGCTGCGTTTTGCCCACAACCATACCGTCAATTCACTTTACAGTTTATTCTGTGAAGCGCTTTCAGATGTCTGGAAGACGTGAAAAGTGCTATATCAACTGTAAGGATTATTATTATTAATTTGTACAAACTAAGCATTATTGCTTTACTTTTGTAGTCTATGCCCTATATATAAAACCCGGGAACATTTAGCTTTTTCACAGTTTTTCATGATTTAAATATCTCTATGCATAAATATAAATATAATAAAAATATAAATATAAATAAATTTATATAAATATAAATGATATAAATACCTCTATACCTCTAAATATCCCCTCTCAAACACCTCCTGTCCAGATAAAACAGTTCCAGTGTGTCCAGTCTTTCTTTATCGCTGTATCCTCTCATCCCTGGTAACAGCCTGGAAAGTAAAAATACTACATAAAGCAAATCGAGACCAAGATGGAATTTTACCCCAGATTCATTTATTAAATGATGATGCAGTGCACCTAGCCTTCCAAAAAGCCTTTAACAAAGTAAACTTCTTCATAAACTGATGTGAGCTTTGCTCAGTTGATTGCATTCTCACCTCTGCATCAGTATTCAACTTCTGCACTGGGGTCTTTGAGCTTATCTTCTAGGTTGACAATCCAGCACACCATTGGGACAGCACTACATTGTTGGAGATATTATGCTTCAGATGAAATGCTAAACCAAGGTCCCGTCTCTCTGTTCAGATGGATGTTAAAGATCCCATGGCACTATTCAAAAAGAAAAGGGAGTTGTGTTTGGCGACAAATACAATCACAACAATTAACAGTAACTACTATGAAGAACTTTGACACATTTTAACATGAAAGTGGCCTATATAAAATGGATAGATTATTATTTATATTACTTGGTTGTAAGGATAAGATGTAGGCTTGTATTTATGAGTGATTAAAAGAAAGTAGGCAAAGGTTGGTCAATAGGGGGTAAATAGAGGCGGGTATGGAAGTGAGGGGATAGTTCCTATACCAAGTGTACATGAATAACAATATTTTCTTAGTGTTGTTTTCCTCTACACTGCCTGTTGGAAGTTAGTTAATTTGCAGATGACACCAAGCTAGTAAAACTGAAATAAAAGTTAGACAAGGTCTTGCAATGAAACCTCAACTGATTAATGCCACTGGGGTTGCCATTGGCAAATAAAGTTTGCTACAGATTAGATAAGTGCAAAGAATGTAAAAGAAAGTAAAAACAGAAACTGCTAAGAAGCAAATTGAAAGAGACCAATTGGCATGGATTGACTCATTCATTGCTCATCAAACCCAAACATTGTGAGGCAGCAAAAATTAAAGTGAATAGTGCACTGAGTTATATTGCCAGTTGAGTTTAGTTCCCAAGAAATCATGTTCAGGTTGTACAGTGCTGGGGTTCGGTTGCAGGAATACTGCATACAGTGCTGGTTACTGTGATATAAAGGATTGCCCCGGTCCAACAGACAGTGTAGAGGAAAACAACACTGATTTAAGAAAGAGCTTGATGCTGTAATGCTATGAAGTCAGAGTGGGCATTCTGGAAGAATGTGAACAGGTGAGCCGAAAGATCTTATTTATCTGAATGTCTTCTGTGATTTTGTGTTATCTGCATTTGATCTTAAATTAAGTATGAACATGATCTTTAATAATTATCCTTACATTTGATATAGTGCCTTATCACATCATCGAAATGATTCACAAGTGGCTCACAGAATTTTACTGTGAAGTGTGGTGACTGTGCATTTTGTGGACAAAGATGGCAGTCAATTTGAAGCAATGGGCAAAAATTACCATTTGAAGTGAATGACCAATTTTATCTGTGGGTTTATTGGCCAGCCCACCAGGAAAAGTTCCCTGCTCCTTTCTCTCCCTGCACTCTGGCACTGCACTGGAGTGTCAGCTGCAGACGGTGAACTCATAACTAACAATCGGGTTCCGACTTACTGCTGGGTAACAGAGGCGTGCAGAGTAAGGAAACATGCCCAAGGTTCTCCGCCCAGGAATGCAATCCGGGTCCTCCCGCTTGTGAGTCTTCACTCAGAGGCAAGAGAACTACGAACTGAACCAAACTGACACAGGCTCATGTTCAGACTACAGGGCAGTTAATTCAATTACCCTTTGCAATGGGAAAGATCACAGAATCCAACAAAGAGGGGGAGCCTAGTGGTGTCCTGGCAGACCCACCCACCTTGCACAGTATAAATTCCTTGTGTTGTTGCTCACAGAGTAGTGAACCAGTGCACCATCCCATATGACTAGTCCACCAAGTACATCCAGCAGGACCCAGATTGTGCACACTCTGCACTGTGGGGGGAGATTTATTTTCCCTTACCTGAATGATCTGCAAAAACAAGGGAAGAACACACTGGCTCTGTGGTGAGCCTATCCATTATACACGACCCACAACACCCCCCACCCTCGACCACACACGTCCAGAGTGGGCAAACCTCTCCCTCTCTCTCTTTTGTATTCTTAATGCTCTCTCTGGCATTGTAAACGCCACTTTGCTTTTGTCCCACTCCTCACCTCTTTGGTTATTTCGCATCTTTGCAACGCCTGGAGGTTTTTTTTTTGGTGGGTGTGTGTGGGTGGGGGTTAGATCTTTATTGCAACCTTTTTTGTGGAAGGGGGGGAGAGAACTTTATTGTGGTCCTTTTTGTGTGTGGGTGAGGGTGGGTGGACAAATTTATTGCAGTCCTTTTCCACCTCAATGTCATTGTGTGTTAAATCTCTTCTGTGGGGTTACTGTGAACCAATCAGGTCGGTCTGGTCGGCAGTTTGGGGGAAGCCCTGGGAGGGAGGGGAGGGGAGGAGAGGGAGGGGAGTGTGTGTGGTGCTGGTGCTGGTGGTGAGCTCAGCTCAGCTCCGCGGGATCGAACCCATTCATTCGGAAACTCAAACCATGTGAAGGCAGACAGAGAGCGAACGAGAGAGAGAGAGTGAGAGAGTGTGAGAGAGAGGAGAGGGAGAGAAAAGAGAGAGAGAGAGAGAACTGGACAGAGGCAAAGGCACAGCAGCAGCTCTGAGCTCACTGCAACTTTACATCCACTGTGAAAGAACAACTTACCTTCAAATAGAGACAACCGACGCAGAAACAACCGATTCCCCATCGTCACTGCAAAAAAAAATAAGTGGATGTGCATTCATTTACCGAGAATTAACTCTTATATTAAATACAGGACACTTGAGAGAGAGAGAGAGAGGGAGAGAGAGAGAGAGAGGGAGAGAGAATTACCAGAATGAGCCCGGGACACACTCTCTATATATTTTACACACTGTACTTCACGGATGCAATAGTTTCAGGTACAGTAAAATCCAATTATTTTTCCAAGTTTGTTTTTTTTTCCCCCCCATGTTTTCTCCCAAGATTTTCTTGCCATTTTTTTTTGAAAAAAAAACCCCCTCAGCGTTTCCTTTTTTTTTCCTAAAAAAAAACACTCGATCGGTTTCATCCTATATATCATTCATTTTTTTTTTGGGTGGTGGTGGGGGGGGGGGTGTGGAGGGGGGGGGGGGGGATCCTATTTTGGACACAAATAGCTCCACTTGCACCATTTTGAAACAAAATAGTAAATGCAATTGTATTTCCCCCCCACACACACACCCCCCACCCACACCCCCTCTCTGTGTCTCTCCTGTTCCCCTGTCCTTTCCCTAATGCAGGTTTCGAGGCTTTCCTGGAGGAAACCGAGATCGTTTTCCCAGCCGTTCTGCAGGACGGCAAACCGCGTCCTTTCCACGCCATTCTGGCAGATCCCGGGATCACTTCCCGGGAAGTCCGCTCCATCTCCAACGTGGACGAGTACGAATCCCAGGAGTTTTACCCGCGGGAGCTGCAGCCTCCTGCACCGCCCGGCGCTGGCGACAGCAGCAGCGATGCAACTTATTCCACCATCTCCTCCTCCTCCTCCTCCTCCTCCACCACCTCCTCCTCCTCCTCCTCCCCGGAGCTGCAGCTGAGGATCCCGGCTTTCGGCAGGGAGCTGTACCTGAGCTTACGGCGGGACAGCCGCTTCCTCTCGGGAAGCTTCACGGTGCACAGCCGCAGGAGCCGACACCACAGCTCCGTGCGCTCCTACCGCGGGGAGCACGCCTGCTACTACAGCGGGTATGTGCACAGCAACAGCGGCTCACTCGCCTCCTTCAGCACCTGCGGGGGACTGGTAAGGGCTCAGCTGTCAACCAGCACTCTCTCTGTCTGTCTGTCTGTCTGTCTGTCTGTCTCTCTCTCTCTGTGTCTGTGTCTCTCTCTGTGTCTGTGTCTCTCTCTGTGTCTGTGTCTCTCTCTGTGTCTGTGTCTCTCTGTGTCTCTCTCTGTGTCTGTCTCTCTCTCTCTCTGTGTCTGTGTGTCTCTCTCTCTGTGTCTGTGTGTCTCTCTCTCTGTGTCTGTGTGTCTCTCTCTCTGTGTCTGTGTGTCTCTCTGTGTCTGTGTGTCTCTCTCTCTGTGTCTGTCTCTCTCTCTGTGTCTCTCTCTCTGTGTCTGTCTCTCTCTCTCTCTCTCTGTGTCCGTGTCTCTCTCTGTGTCCGTGTCTCTCTGTGTGTCTGTGTCTCTCTCTGTGTCTGTGTCTCTCTCTGTGTCTGTGTCTCTCTCTGTGTCTGTGTCTCTCTCTCTCTCTGTGTCTGTCTCTCTCTCTCTCTCTCTCTCTGTGTCTGTCTCTCTCTGTGTCTGTGTCTGTCTGTGTCTGTGTCTGTCTGTCTGTCTCTCCGTCTCTCTCTGTCTGTCTGTGTCTCTCTGTCTCTCTCTCTGTCTGTCTCTCTGTCTGTCAGTCACTCTGTCTCTCTTGCTTCTGCAGCACACACACACACACCCCCACACACACACTCTCTCTCTCTCTCTCTTCACTCAACTTGATGTATTTTTTATTTTGTGCCATTCGTGTCTGTCTCACTGTGAAGGTAATGTTGGTAACGTTAACAAGTCCGAGCTGTGTTGCCACTGCCCCCACTGCCCCCCCCCCCCCCACCACCACTTTTTATCGAAAATATTTCTCCAGCAAAATGTTCACTCAGTCCTCTTTCCTCCCAATAATCTGATCACATCCAATGATCTGATGGTGGTCCCAGTGATTTGGATCACATCTCTGCTTTTGTTTCAGAACAGCCCTTGTGTTTTCTGCCTAATCTCTTCTAAAATGTTAAAAGCATCTTTTTTTTCATTTTAATTTTGTGTCGTTTATGTCTCTTTGACTAATGCTTCCCCCCCCAACCCCACACACACACACACACAGATGATTTTCTATCAGGAATGTTTAACCTCTTTAACCTCCCAACGTGAAAAGCGCTGTATCAAATGCAAGGATTATTATTATTATTATTAAGATAACCGGTGACAGTCGCCTTCGATGCTTTTCTATTAAACGTACGTGCAGAGGCAAACTTTCCCCCACACCCCCGACAGAACAATATCTAGAGGCGTGGGTTTAAAATAAAGTTTGTGATAACCGCACACAGTACAAATCGCGTCTCCTCGGGCTGTGTGGGGGTGTTGACCCATTCATGCCGAGTGTGGCCGCTGTTCTACGCCCGGCCGACAGGAGGCGCACTGGTTTGCTCTGTGCGGAGCCGTGTGTTCGCCCAAGTGCTGCAAACCAGCTTTGCAGCTCACCTCCTGCAATGGAAAGATCTCCAAATATGGTCCCAGGAACTGAACACCTCGTCCAGAAATGTATAATACCGGAAAAAAGTGCTTTTTTTTTTGTGTAAAAAAAATATATATATAAATCCCTGACACACTAATACTGAAGGAATCAAAATAATCTGATGCTCGTGTAGTTGTATAGTATTTTTTTGCAAACTTTCTTGAAAGCTTACGTTATGCAAGGGTATGTTTTCAAATTATTGCATGATATCAACTTATTCTCTGCTCTTTCACGTACAATATTGTGTGTGGGGGTTTTCAGTTACATTTTCTTGGATCTATGCAGTCCATTGCTGCTTTTTAATACTTGCATTTGATATCGCATCTTACCACTTTGTCAAGTCGTCCCAAAGAGCTTCACAGGATTTTTCGGTAAAAGTGTAATTGACTGTGTACTTGTAAGAAAATGCGGCAGCCAATTTGTGCACAGCAATTTCCCACAAACAGTCATGAAGTAAGTGAATGACTAATTTTATTGGGAGGGTTGTTAGCCAGGAGTTTCATCTCAGTAGTTAATTATTTTTATAGAAGTGGCCTGAGCTACTTAATGCAATCATTAAAAATTATTTTGCAGGCAATTGCGGTGCAATGGTGTGTGTACATGTCCTGTATACATGTGGGTGAAATACTGTTGATGTAGCTGCTGTAGACTGTGTTTTACATCCTGACTGCTGTGGGACACTACTGTGTGCAATTGGCTGCTGTGTTTTATCCACAAAATATACAGTCAACTCACTGTACAGTATATTCTGTGAAGTGCTTTGAGAAATCTCAACAAAGTGATAAGGCGCTATGTCAAGTGAAAGGATTATTATTATTGCACTACCATTTTATCTCACATGTAGAGTCAGCCTTGGATTTTACAAGGACAACAGACTCCCAGAAACAAAGTACAATGGTCCTAGCACCTATCTTCATCTCGGTGGCATATTTACTTTGATTTTTCTGAGCAATCTCTATTTACTAAGAATCACCTACCCTTCCCCTTCTCCCTTTCTCGATGTCTGATCCCATTTTTATGAAGTACTCCGAGACACTAACCTACGCGAAGGGCGCTATATAAATGCAATTTATTGTTTGTTGTTGTTGTTTTCAAACTTATGGTGCTTCCTATCAGCTTGTACTGAACAAGAAAGAAGTAAAGTGGCAGTAAGGGAGCAGTGTGATTGTACGAATAGACAGGGCATTCTTTCTTTGCATGGCTACATTAACATTTAGTGGCAGAATCTCTATCACGGGGGAGCATGTTGATGTGTACATATCATTTACTTGATCACCATTTTGGGGGGAATAGTAATTATTTCTGACTATTATAAAATCACATGGTGCAGTTCTGCATGTTTTTGCAAGACCTAGCGTGAAGCTGGAGGGGAGGGAAGACATTGCACAAAAAAATAGCACAGGGGAAATTGAGATGCTTAGCATTTTACAGGTGAGTACAGTGCATGATTATAGTTCTGTCATTACACCATTGCACTTGGGACATTAATGTATTCTCTGGTAAGATAATTAATGTTTACATGAATCCTAGAAATGTCAAAATGCCACTGCAGCCCTCACTCTTGACATTGTGACCTTGCAACTTGACTTCTCTAACACATTCCTCCGCCAGTCCACACTGCTACAGCTCCTCCCCATCCACCATCTCCAGCTAATCCCAAACTTCACAGTGTGCATCCTCACCCATCCATCACCCCAGTCCTCGCCAGACTTCAGTAACTATGCCCCACCCTTTGCAATGTCTTCCCTCTCTCCCTCTGTGTGCCCCCACCAATCCCCCACTTATCTTTAAACCAAACCTAAAATCTTACCCCATCTCCAGACATCTCCATTGCCCTCCCACCCACTTGGTGTCTGACACCATCCCTGTTACATAAAGCTTCTAGATGTTATTGTTAGTGAAGGGCTTAATAAATATAAGTTGTTGTTGTGGTAACAATGTCTGTGATAATATTAATAATAATCTTGCATTTGATGTAACGCCTTATCATGTGTTTGAGACGTCTCAAAGCACTTATAGAATATACTGTGAAGTGAATTGTCTGTATATTTTGTGGGCAAAACACCGCAGCCAATTGCGCACAGCGGAGTCATACAAACATTTTTTTTATGTATTGGACGTGCGATATTAACTAGGTCACCAAACAGTTAGAATCTGGAATTATAAACCACCAATTTAAATGTTACACACGTATGAATGGGATGGTTATGTGTATCTCAGTGCTAAAGCCATTCCCCATTGTAACATAGCATTACGTAAATAATAATAACAATAATCCTTGAATTTGATATAGCGCCTAATCACGACTCCGAAACATCTCAAAGCACTTCACAGAATATAAGACAACAACAACAAAATTACATTTGTAAAGTGCCTTTCATGTTGGGAGGACATCCCAAGGTGCTGAATAGTCGGGGATCAGGACCCGAGCCCTGTGGTAGGGTTGGGATGAGGGAGGGCAGAGAGGTAGGAGAGTGGCTGAAGGCACGGTTGAAAAGGAGGGTCTTGAGTCGTGCCTTGAAGGAGGCAAAGGAGGGACCAAGGCAAAGGGATTGCGGGATGGAGTTCCAAAGGGTGGGGGCAGAGAAGCTGAAAGCCCAGTAGCCAATGGTAGGGCGGGTCGGGTGGGAGACATGGGGCAGGCCGGAGCCTGCTGTATGGAGGGAGCAGAGAGGTTGATAGGGGGTTCAGCAGGTCAGAGATGTAGGAGGGGGCAAGGACATGGAGAGCTTTGAAAGTGAGGATGAGGATTTTGCATTCTATCCTCTGAGGGATGGGGAGCCAGTGGAGCCGGGTAAAAGTGGGGGTGATGTGGACACAGAGCCTAGTGCGGGAGGGGACATGAGCTGCAGAGTTCTGGATGATCTGCAGCTTGTGGAGGGAAGAGTTGGGGAGGCTGACAATGAGGGAGTTTCCAAGGTCGAACCTTGAGGTGATGAATGCATGTATGATGAATGCATATACTGTAAAGTGAATTGACTGTGTATTTTGTGGGCAAAACATAGTAGCCAATTTTGTACAACAGTGTCTCACAATCAGTCTTAGATTGAGTGACCAAATTATTATTTTATAAAATTATTTTTATGAAGATATTATTACCCCTGGAAAAGTGATCCGCCAATCGACTAATGACTGGGCTCCAAATTACTGCTAGGTAAACAGGCATGTAGAGTAAGGTAAGATTTCACCTAGTCCGGGAATCAAACCCGGATCCTTTAACTTGCGAGGCAAGTGCTCTAACCAATACGTTATAGGAGAATTCACAGTGCTATGGAAAACAACTTTATGTGACAACATTATATAAAAAACATAAAATTCAAGATTTAAGGAAAATAATAAATATTGCATGTCATTAAAAGCTGCAGGAATTGAGAATAAATGAATTATTTATGCACCATAGTCTTGTAACTAGAGGCTCTTTTCTCCCAAATGCATTTTAGCTGTTACAAAGCTCATTTAACTCAATGGAAACGTGCTGGAAGAATATCAAACAGTTTTACTTCTTCTTATAATACTGTAGCTCC